CCATTTGCACACTTGTGTTTTACTGTCATACACAATCGACTCATGGTATAAGAACTGTGGCACTATAAATCCACCTTTTCTGAGGGACTTAGATGATGGCTTTCTTGGCTCAAAGTCAGTTTATAGGAAGCCAGTTACAGCATAATTTACCTAGGAGTTGGAAGCAACCCCCCAATCTCTGAAACAGCTCTCCAGCCCTGGAAACTCCCAAGTGGGAACTGGAGAAAAGCTGGCCAGATGCTTCTGCAGCTTAGCTGGCTGGTTCTCCACCCAGGAGTCCTTTGTACTAAGTTTCACCTTATTGGGGGTATCAGTAAAAGCCTCCTCTCCCAGTAAGAAATCACTCTGTGTGAGTAACAGAGGGCAATCCGGCTCTCTTACTTTGCATGGTGTTTACTTCTGGGAAGAAGAAAAAAGCTGCCCTATCAATTGGGTTTTTAAGGAGAAATATTCATTCTGGTGGCACGAGAATTGAGACATGGCTCCCGCCATGATGCTGAGGACTGATCACCTCTAAACACGTCCGTTACAGCGTCGCGAAGAGTCTGTGCAGGGGCAACTTAAAAGGCTGTTCTGGATGTAACGCTTCCTCTACCGTTCCGGTCATCGGTGGTCAGCTAAAGGTGCTGGATTTGAAAACTTCTTGACTTTTATCTAAGCTACTTGGGACAGCAGGTATGGTCTGATGCAACTCTAGAAGTCTAGATGGTCTCAGCGAAATTCCCCTGGACTCCCATGTGTGGTCACACATGTTTGTCCTTTTAAGCATCCTGCTTAAATAAGATATGGAAAATCCTTGGACTTCCATCCAGCAAAGACATGGCCCTTTACTTGCTGTCTATATTGGCATTAGCTCCACAATGCATGCGTGCAAGCCCTTGCAAGACTGAGGCTTTACCATGGACAAATATACTGCCATAAACAACAGCAGGGTTCCCTCGCTACCCAGCTGTAGGACAACGCTTTGGCTGAGTCGGCACGTACTTCTGAACTGCAGATGCTATTGTTCCTAGTAAGGGTCCAAGAATACGAGTTCCCAATGTTGCATTTTTGCTTAAATCATATAGCTCACCTACACCATTGTCTTTGCACTGTAGTATTTGTCTGTGCTCTTAAATTTCATTTCTGTGCCTTACAGAGACTTCCCCCTGGTCGTTTCCCAAAATACCACATAACACACACGCAGAGTCTCACCTGACCTGTAGATCACCCCTTGATGTGATGGCTTTTTTTTTCCCCTCTGGAAGCAGCTGTGGTGTTGATAGCTGGGAAATTCAAGAAGAAAAATGTTTGAGATGTGGAACAAATTGCATGCAAACAAATTAAAAGAGGCTGCACATACTTGAAACACGTTGAATTCTGCTGCTGCTTTTATCTCTGCTCAGGCCATTCACCCCCTCCAATCTGGAGCCCCCACATCATGCATTTTCTGTGGAAAGAAATCAGCTCTCCCAGATGCTCTGCTTTATCCAAGCAAGAGTCGTGAGCAGAGCTCATCTCCCTCCTTCACATCCTGAGCACAATTGGAAAGATCACTGATGGACAGAGATCAGATCTGGATGCATGGACCTGTTCCAAAAGGTGGAGGTGGTTGTTAACAAGAGTGAGGTGAACTACGTAGACCCCCTTCTCCATCTTCTCCTTAGAAGGAGTTGTATGGGTGAAATCCCCATTCCCAGAGTGTTTTTTGTCGGCAGCTCCGACTGCAATTATACTTTAAAATGGACCCAACAGAACAGAGGGCAGTTTTGTAGCTAGAAGCTTCACAGCTTCCTTCTGCAGGATCTTGGGCTCCAAAGAGATTTAAAGAGAACGGGCCCATCTAGAACCAAAACCGTCCTTTTATTTTATTTTTCTTCCATACAGAAAGAGAGAAAAACCTGGCATAATCTTATCCTGCTGGTGCTGCTTGGACCCCCACTGATTTAGTAGGTTCATTTTTAATTTCTGACTCCAAAGCCTAAGTGTACCACAGCTGAGTATCCAGCACTGGGTTCTGCTCTTGATAGAGGAGACCCTTATTGGCTTGGGATTTGGGGTCCTACAAGTGTGTTATTGCAGAATAGGACTTTTGGATGGTGGGTGCTTTCTTGCCAGGGGAGATGAGCCCAGACTACAGCTTGCCATATTCAGAGGTGTAAAATGGATTCTCAACATGTCCTCCAAGCCTGCAAAAGAGAAGACTTCAGTTTGCAGAAGAGACGATTGAGGGGGGTTTGATATCAGCCTTCATCTCCCTGTGGGGGGGCTGCAAAGAGGATGGAGCTGAACTGTTCTCCATGGGGGCAGATGACGGGACAAGGAGCAATGGGCTCAAGCTGCAGCAAGGCAAGTTGAGGTTGGATATTAGGAAAAACTCTATCACCAGGACAGCAGTAAAGCACTGGCACAGGCTACCCAGAGAAGTGGTGGGCTCTCCATCCTTGCAGGTTTTGAAGACCGGGCTAGACAAAGCCTTGGCTGGGATGATGTAGTTGGGGCTGGTCCTGTTTTGAGCAGGGAGTTGGACTACATGTGACCTCCTGAGCTCCCTTCCAGCCCTCATTTTCTATGATAAGCCATGACTTTCAGAACCAAACCTATTGCTATTATTGAATCATGCTAAAGTCAGGCTGGAAGGGACCTCTGGATGTCATTGAGTCCAACCCCCTGCCTGAGGCAGGATCATCCGTATCCAAACCACCCCTTGCTTGTCCTTATCTAACCTTTTCCTAAAACTACACAGTCAGGCCCATTACGACTCCAAAGGATATTGCCCAAAGACAGGAAAAGCACCCCAACCTGCCAGATAAAGTAGGAGGTTGAGAGCTGACCGCTGCCCACCGCTGCAGTGGTCCTTAAGAGATCCAAGGAAGTGAGCCGTGCCACCCCTCTGCAGAGGAAAGCAAAACCCCCGCAGTCTGTACTAATCTGACCAGGGAGTAAAATTGCTTCTTGATCCCAAATGCAGTGATCAGTCTGACCCTAAGCAAGACCCTCAACCAGAAGCCTATGTGTTTTGAGTGCCAACAGGAGCATTGGCCTATCCCAGTCTAAGGTCTCCAGCCTTGGCTGCAGCCAGGTGCTTCTGAGGAAGGCAGGAAAAGCCCCCCACCCCAGTAGCAATAGGAGAGGAAAGGTGAGGAAGGTGATGGATGTGGGGAACATCCTGGGGCTCGAGGCTTTGTACATTGTCTTGGCTGCTGCGGTGAGCAGCACCTTGCAAACGCTGCAGCCACGTAGCTCAATCAGAGATGCACAGTTAATGCTGGGCTCACGGCAACGAATGCAAGCTGCTCCCTGTGCTCACTCAAGCCTTGGGGGCTTCATTTCTGGGAAGAGAGGGAGAGAGAGAGAGGGATAACCCTGCCATGGACAGCTAGACGACTTCTGTGGACCCTGGAGCCCTATTTTTTCTATGAATTCCCCTTGGACAGTGGAGAAGATTTCCCTTTTCTTGTGATAGCTTCCCGGTGGCGGTTTCTAGCTATCTGGGCTAGGATGGGAGTGCATATCGCAGAAGTGCCAAGTGACTAGGAGGTAACTCAGTGTGGCTCCCAACCCCTCTGGTTTAGTTAGTCTACAAGGTGCACATCTATCCTGCCTCGTGCCTGACCTCAGACTGACACGGCTAACAACCTACCGCCACCGTCTTGGGTAAACATTTCACTTGCCTACGTCATTTGGGTGCTGCCAGGTTAGGTGGTTCACGGCCAGGCCCCAGCACCCAGCTGGGCAGTTTATTCCCCACAAAAGCTGTGCTGCTGCTGCTCTCCAGTGGCTGGCAAGGTCCCGAGCCAGGCCTGAGCAAGGCTGCAGGTCTACGGTCATTTCCTTCACCAGGGCCAGACACAGGCATGGACAAACCAGGCCAGAGAAAGGGTGCCCAAAAATGGTAATTTTTTCCCCGTTGTCTGATTATTATTATTATCATTATCCCTAGCAAAGGGGGGCCCGATACTAAAAGTGCGTCCAGGGCTACCAGGAGTCTAGATATGGTGCTACCCTGCACCGTGAGAAATGGCTCTTCTGGATGGGAGAAAACCCTCCTCTCCATGGAGAGCTCCTATGTGCACTCTCCTCCGATGTCCTGCGTCTGCCAATGGCGAGGAGCCTCTGCGAGGGAAATCTTGGGGGCCGGGGGATGGCCGGGGGGCCAAGCGGGGAGCCCATAGCGCTGCGGCAATCTCTAAAGGGTGTTGTGCACTCTCGTGCTGTACCTCCTACAAGTTTAGCTCGTCCCTCCCACTCCCTCCCAATGAACCGCTTCTGTCAGGGAGCCGGGGAAGGCGAGGGATAAGTGAAAGCTTTTTGCAGAGTAAGGCTACCACTCTGGCTCAGTGCCTCAGGCGGATGGTAGGGGTAGGGTACCAGACGCCTTTAGCACTCACATGGACTTCTACCGAGGGCTCATCGTAGCCTGGGCGCTCTGCCTTCTGCCAGGTAAGCGCCTTCTTCTTTCTAGCCTCTCCCGAGCTCGGGGGGCACAGAGCACAGCTTTCCCAGCGGGGAGAAAACCCTGGCTTTTGGTTATCTGAGGACCCAAAAAGGGGGGAACCCCCCCCCTAAAAATACTGACAATAGAGGCAAGATTTAAGACGGGGATCAGTCATTTCATAGAAGTGCTGCAGCAACGTGGAAGGAAGATTCCTCCAAAGGGGGAAGCGGGGGAGTAGCAAGGGATCAAGCTCTTTTGATCAGTTGCTGAGGAATGACTAAAACTGAAGGAAGGGGGGAAAAATCCTCTGCTCTAAACCGCTTGCAATTTCTCATCTGGATTGCAGTTGCCTGGAGGATTCATCTGCATTTTTAAGGACTAAGCGGGGGGGGAAAGGCTAGAAAGACTGGGAGCTGCCTGTTCCTTCGTCCTCTTCCCCAGCACAAAGGGGGAGGTGGGCACGAGGACAAGGACTGGGGATTGAAGTCACACCTTGGTGCAGAGATTTTAGATGCTCCTTTCATTTTAAGATGCGAGTCTGCAGGCTTCCCTCACATCTGGATCCCTGCGTGGCTGCATACGCCGTGTTGGGTTACGGGAAGAGGGGGGAGAAGTCCTACTTACTGTTGGCCACATGCCTATAAGTTTAAAGTCGGTTGTTACAGGGAGCGAGTCCTCGGCAGCAGGCGTTTTTTGCTTCAATTATATTTGACATCTTTCCATGCACAACCCTCTCCCGGGGGCAGAAGGGACTGGGACGCTCTTCCGAGCCACAGAACAAAAGGAGACCTTTCTCCCAGTTAATCGAAGGGGGCCGCTGTCACCGGCCCATTTACACCCATCAGCACGACGTTAGGAGCCAGGGATCATTTGTGCCACTGTAAACATTTCCGAGCGTCCTGATGGAAAGTGAATTTTTTTTTTTTCTTTTCTAATTGCACGGCTACTTGATAATTTAAGGGAAGCCGCAGCGAAGTTGCCTGCCTCTGCCTAATGGGGACCATGTGTGTGCGCCTTAGAAAACATTACATTTTGCGATCAAACTTGCGGTGTGAGATTTGGCTGCTGCGGGGTAGACAGCACGCTGGTGTAAGAGATGCATTTCAGACGGTTTTCTCCATGCCTTTGGGGAGAGGTGGATCAAGTTGCTCTGATCCTTGGGCACTAGGCAGTGTACTTTATGCGCACGTGAAGACACCCGGTGCTAGACCTGGGTCTGTTTTGTGGAGCGTGGTGCATTTGGGTCTCTCTGCCTGCATACCCTAACTCTTCAGTCCTACGTGTGCTCCTGGGGCCACAATGCCACTTGGTGGGGAGGGCAAACACCTTCCCCACGGACATGGTGTAGAGCTTGAAACTTTTGCAAACAGCAGACAAAGAAGAATAACTAAAATGGCCCAGGGGGGTTAGATAAATACTCCTTGCAGTATCGCAGATCTGGCACCCTGTGCATCTTGTGGCTCAGGGATGCAGTCACTGTGAGCAACAGGGAGCTAGCAGTGGCCTCTTGCTATTTCTAAATAGCACCACATCGCTCTTTGTATCCTCGCCGCAAACACGACTCTGCTTTAAATCACAGCTGTGTTTTCGTGTAGGCAGGCCGGGAGCACAGCTACAGGGCGGAACCAAATGGAAGTTCACTTCTTTGGAAATCATCCTTTTCCCCACACAGGAAGCTGTCCCATGACACAAGTATCCACTTGTGAACGTGATTTATGCCCGGGTGTGTGCATTGCTGTCATGTGGCAGAACAGAAAGAAAGCTGGGACCTCAAGGCAGGCTGTTGCATAAGGCATCCTTGGGCATGTATCTTTGCACCAACTAACTTAAGTCTTAAACAGCTTCAGTTAATAATTGGCCTGTGTGAATGCAGGATATTTAAACGGCAATCACAAAGATGCTAGGAAAGGCAGTGGCTATTGCATCCATCCCTGACATACCTCCACTGCCTCCAGCAGCGCTGCCCCGTGGACAAACTGGGCCCAGCACGTCTCTGTTTCACAGGTTTTCAAGTCACCTGCTTGAAAACGTGACACTCCTTGTCTGCCTCCTGCCAAGTGCTCCTTTAAACCAAGAGAGGACTTCAGCGGGGGCATGTGTTGTCCTATTAGAAAGGAGTTGCTGTGGTGATTACCCAATATTAATAAAAAAAAGTATTGAGCCAACAATGACAGATGTGAGCAGAGGAGGCCGGCAACATCCCTTCTTCAGCTGACTGCCGCTCTCCTAGAAAATGCCCCTTCCAGGGAACTCTGTACAGGGACAAAGGGTTTGGTATTTAATGACAGTCCAGCAAGGACCACTACTTCAGCTCTAGGTCCATGCAAAGCTAGTCTGAGCAGCATGAAGACAGCGGCACCCCCTCCTCAGATATTCTGAATAAAGAAATAGGTCAGATCCCATTTCCAGGACCAGGATTCAGCGCCTGTTGCTCACCGGCATTGTGGATAAGGCTGTACAAATGGGCTTGGTGGAAATGGCTTTGTAAATCACTCTGCCTGCCAATCGCTGCTGGCTTTGGGGCTCTGAGTCAATAGATCATAGCATGGTGCATTGACAGCACGAACTGGCAGGAAAGATGCGACTTGTAATAACTAGGGCAAGTTGCATGTGAATCTCTGGCACTTCTGAAACAGGAAGAATCATTTGGGAACCCTGCTTTTGCTGTTGTGAGCAAGGAAATGAAGGCGGTGGTGGTTGGCTGACTTGGTTTAAGAGTTGAGAAAGTTGTAAAAGGGTTGTCACTGCTCCATCCAGCATGTTTGCGACTGCCTGGCTGGATCTGTGAGGAGTGCCCTGATGCAGGAGCTCACTGGGACGTGGAGTTGGGGGAGAAGTCGGGATATTAACACGGAAAAGAGATTTAATCAGGGTAGCGCTTCGAACTGTCACTAACTTCCCTTGGCTTTGTGGCTATCAAGGAACTCGTGTAAAGAAAGAGCCCATCATGGACTTTGAAGGGCCAGGCTTTTTATGCCTCCCCCTACTATTTTATCTCTGTAAAATGCCTGTCCTGGCCATGGGCTTCTTTTGCAAATATGCCTTCTTTGAACCCCTGGCTCTCATAATGCAGACACATTTCTATGAGTGGGTGGGATAGACCCACCAAATTCATTCTGCATCTGAATTGAGGACTCCCAGAGTTATAGGCCGACTAGTGTCTGTAGCTAGGGTTTGAATGGGCTGTGAGGATCAAACTAAAATACATCGGAGGTGGTCTAAGTTTCCATGAACAAACAAAATCTGCCATGAAAAAAATGCATGTGTACATGGTGACACCATTATGCCAGACAAATGGTGATTTTTTTCATCACTCTTCGTCATGTGTACATGGTCCAATCGTAACATGTACAAGTGCCCCATGGCTTAATTTCACCAGGAACAGCTCAGTTTATCTCCCTTTTTCCCACTGACCCTCTATCTCCTCCTCCCCCAGCCCAGTATCAGTTCATCTGTGTGGCTATCTGGTCTTTTCTAACCAAGTCAATAAGGACCTGAACACACAGATAACAGAACTGTGTGGTCTGTGACCCAGTTGAGATGTTGCCTTTAGTGTGGCTCTGTCATGATTTCCCTGACCACTATGGTCAAGGCTCCTTGTTCATCTGGGAATTGTGTTGGGGTCATCACAGAAACATGCTAGAGAGCAGCCAGGGACTGCTTCATGCTTTTAAGTAAGAGCTGCATGAGCTGATACAATGCCGACCGTGGAAGCGTGGTTAGGGCAGAGACCATTCAGGTTCCTCCTCCAGTTTTCCCCCGGGAAGTTCAACCACTGCTACCCGACATCAGGCTGAATGTCTTTCCTCTCCTGGTCAATACTGCCCGTAAGGTCATAATCAGCACTGTGTCATGCCTCTCCAGTGGTCCCCATCCTGGTCTCACACACCCACACACACACTGAAATTCTGCCTGCCAGTAAGCTCATGGGAGTTAGTCTAGAGCAAAATTTGGCTTAAGCTGGTTTGGAAAACTGCAGAAACCTGCTTGCCACAGCCCTGTAGATGGTATAGTTTGGGTTTTGGGGATGCAGCATGGGACCAGGTCTGACAAAAGGAATCCATAGTAACTACAAAGTTGCACAATTGGGATCCTAAGCACATATTTAATGTCTCCGCCAGTACCGTGGCAGCACCGTGCAAAGCTGGAATTCTCTATTTTTGTCACGACTAAGTTGTGTTTGAACCCTCAGAATGATATCTTCTCAGCCCTGCAGTATTAGAAAGAAAACAGGCTTTCTTCTGTTTCCTTTCTTTTGTCCAGGGCCAAACACCTATAATGGAGACGTGCTTCTACAATTAACTCCTGTGATTGTTTTCTAGGGAGACAGTGAGTGAGCAGGAAGGTTACACAACATGAGTTTGGACCACACCATCTTACATTTTCTCTTTCTTATCACCTTTTTTTTTTTTTATCTACACCCATATCAGCACATGCAAAAATCAAACATTTTTCATCCCTAATCCCAGAAATTGCGGGACCCCTCTGCTCCAGGCTGTGTTAAGTCAGCTCCCAGCTTAGTGTGCCAATATCTTACACACTGGTCATAAGCCTGATATCACCTTCCTTAAGTCAAACAGCTTGACTATCAGCTTGCTGGTGGGAGACCTAGCTGATTCCCTGAATGATCTCCCTGGTGTATGATCCACTGATGAACACCCTGGCTTCCCCCCCATTTATAGGGCAAATGACTTCTACCCCCACCTTTTTTTGTGTCTATTATGTGATGTGATTTGGAGGCCTGTTTAGCTCTTGAAGACTTTAAGCATTTCATTGCATGGCTTTAATTTCTGTGAAGCTAAAAAGAAGGAAGAATTAGATTTGCCAGTCTGAGCTCCTACATGTCACAGGCATTGACTTTCCCCCAGGGACGCTACCTCCAGCTCGAAGGCTTTAGTTAGACCAAATACGCCAGTCCTCAGAAAACTAAGCAGTCTGTTGCTGAGACTAAGGTATCAGCAAAGCCAGGCGCCCATACAGGAGCACAGAATGGCATGCCTTCCCA